GGCATATTTTGGAGATAATTTGAATGGTGATTAATCATGATTAATACATTTTTAAGCTGTGATTAATCCGATTACAATTTTTAATCGTTTGACAGCCCTAATGTAAATCAATGTTATTGTATATATATCTTGTTCTGTTGTAATTCAAATGAACATAATGCATTGTTATTTATGATGTTGATAATCAAGAATTCAGTACGTTTCCTGGTCCCTCTGGGTCTTTGTAATTTCCAATTCTTGTGCTCAGCTTTTTAAATTAATGAAAAGCTTGCTTTTGTTCTCTAAACCTGCCTCACTTTTGTTTTTTGCATTTGGCTCCAACTTTTTGCAAAATCGTGACCTAATAGAAAACACCAAAACCAACTATAGTTCACATTTATTGACACTGCCAGACTTCCCTGCCCTGTCAGGTCAATCATATTGGTGCCTGCTGAAGAAGTGAGTCATTGAAAAAAGTGCACATAAATATAAAGTTAAATTATAAAAGGAGCAGGTATTTCCTTGTATAGCTGATTTCTGTAGTTTTTAGCTAGTGCTTATCAAAGATGAGAAAAAAGTGCATTTGTTAGGGACAATTTTAAGCACAGGACAAATACATGATTGGTGCCCAAGTAAGTGTGTGTGTGTGTGTGTGTGTGTGTGTGTGTGTGTGTGTGTGTGTGTGTGTGTGTGTGTGTGTGTGTGTGTGTGTGTGTGTGTGTGTGTGTGTGTGTGTGTGGTAATGAAGGTGACATTTTCATTGTTTCAATGAAGCTCTAAGTCTATATGACACTTTAATAAAACAAGAAATATTTGTTATCGGGTTTATTTCAGTGTTGGTTTTGGTGTTTTCAACAATTCTTCAAAGTCATTCTTCTACTTCACAGAGCCCTGTGAATATTAACAATACTATTTGAAATGTCAATGTATCAAATCAAGTGTACTGGTTACAAAGATTTCTTACGAATGCAGTCAAGCAGCGTCCGCAGGCAGAGATCTTGAACTCTCCATACAGATCCCTGATGGCTCCCGTGGTGAAGAAGCCCTCCACCAGCAGCAACACTCCAAACACAAAGAACCCAGCTGCAAGGCCATAGATGATGTACTTCAGGATGTCAATACTTTGAAGAGACCAAACAAACAAGCAGTTTATTTTTCAATACTGCATCTGTAAGTGTTAGTTGTAGACTTTATATTATATCTTATATCAGCTAAATCATCTTGTGTACCCGCCATCAACAAATTCAAAGAAGATGATGGATTGGATGGGGATGGCTTGGTTTTGGCATTGGTGTAGAAAACAACACGTTTCCTCTTTAGTGTATCACTTATGTAACGGCTGTGCTTTAACAGAGCCTGTTGATGTGTGTGTGCTTGTGTGTGATCGTGTTTCACGTGTCTGTTGTTGTGTGTTCCTTCACAGGTCTGGTAGTCATGGTTAATCTTGGCAACATGGAGCACCTGGCCAGTCTCCCTGGGCCATGAAACCGGCCGTGTGGGTCTCCTGCGGGCTGGCTCTCTCTTTCGGTTGCAGTAGAATGTCCAAATATTCATATCCTAACCATGATTTTTAAACTTCAGTGAAAACCGTCATGGGATTATGACATTTTTGGTGGGGAATTCATCAGGAAAAGATAATGATTTTAGGAGGATCAGACTGCACTGACACTAGTGAACACATTTATGTTGGGAAACTAGCATTTCTATTGGATGGATAAGTAAAAGCAGATTTAGATACTTTGGCCTGTGTCCACACATATTAATCAGAATGAAACTTGATAAAAAATATACTTTATCTACTACTGTGCATATCACCATCAATCATGTTGAATCAAAACATAAACACAACTCAACACTGTGAAAATGTGACTTTATTTGATGATTTTACAACAGTCATTAGCGTAATGTGTTTTGTTCGCCTTTTGGTTTAACTTATTGTTGAAATGTAAAAACATTTTGGCAAGATATCTCAGAATACGTAAAATACTGAATAAGCAGCACATTAGTCCCTCACTTGGAATGCTGTGGCTGCTAGGTATTGTGGGACAGCATTTTCTCCTTTCCTTTACTAAACGATGCTCCATTGTTTCCTAAGCTAAAGGAGATCAAAAAGGAATCATTGACTTCATGGCTTAACAGTTCTAACTATGAGTCCATCCTAACTGTGAGGAGTCCATCCTAACTGAGGGGTCCATCTTAACTGTGAGGAGTCCATCCTAACTGAGGGGTCCATCCTAACTGAGGAGTCCATCCTAAAATGAGGGGTCCATCCTAACTGTGAGGAGTCCATCCTAACCGAGTCCATCCTAACTGAGGGATCCATCCTAACTGAGGGGTCCATCCTAACTGAGGGGTCCATCCTAACTGAGGAGTCCATCCTAACCGTGTTGAGAAAAGTGTGGGTTGAAGTGTCATAGTTATTATGCTAAAACACGAAAACTCTCCCAGAGAAATAAGGGTAAAATAAGGTCACTCACATGGTAAACACATCCAGAGTTTCTCCCGGGGCTCGGATGACTTCAAAGTAGTTCTGCAGGATCGTGACGGTGCCACTCAGAGCCTCGTGGCCGCAGCCGCAGAACAGGGCCACCCCCATGTAGAGCAGAATGGTGGCGATGAGCGAGGCCCAGGGCAGGCTGCCCACACAGCGCTCACAGCACTCTTTACAACCTGACACACACAACATTGGATTAGTATGAGACAATACATTTAAGAAGTTCAATCTAAACTATAAATTATTATAGGAGTCACAGAATGATCAACTTTGCAAATAAGATGATTACAAAAGCCCATGGTGAAAAGCTTGAAGCATATATTCACAATGGTAATGAGGTTCAGGAACATTCATGTTCTTTAATCATTCTGAGACGCACACAGCTCAGACTAAACATTGATTAATCAAATAGACCTAATCAACAAAAATATCAATGATACCCAGTTTCTAACAAGTAGAGGAGGCAATGCAAATGAGTGATGGCCGCCCCTCCCTGAGACCCTCCTCTAAATGATGACTCAGGTATAATTTGTGAACTGCATAGGGAAGTGTTATCAATAATTGAGTTTGCTGACTGGTCAGTTTATGTTTCAAATGATCTGGATCTGATTGTTGAACACCCTTTTCACATCTATGAAGAATACAGTAATATTAACACGCAATATTACATGTTAGACGCTTTTATCCAGAGAGACTTCCATACATTCATTACTGCGGACAATCCCCAACTTGGGGTGAAGTGTTACAGCTACATGCTGACTGCAGTGGGACTCGAACTTGCGCTCCCCTGATCCGAAGATCATTATTCCACTGAGCCACAGCCTCCATCAAAACACTTGAATACATACAAAAACTTGATTCACTTTCCAGAACACTACAACTTCCAGAGTCTAGATAGAAAGAAAACTAGACAACTTTTCTGGAAAAAGATGGTGCTGTTGAAGTGTTTGAAATACATTCCTAGTGATATGAGCACACAAAGAAAGTGCCGTGCACCACCACTACGAAGACAACATTAACATTAACATCTAAGATATCTGCATGGATAATTATATTAAGAGGTAAGTTGGGAAAATACGATTGTTTGTCCTTGCAAACGCCCTTGTGAGGTTCACATTTCATGACCGCGGTCCGGATCCGGACCCAGATGCCGACCTATACGGACCCGGACCCATAATCAATACATTAATAGAGGATTTCAATTTTGACGGGGCGATTCTATTTTAACTGCCGCCGAGAGGGGGCGAAAGAGACGAGTGAGCGATACAGGGAAAGAAAAAAAGAAGAAGAGACGATTGTGCGACACACGGAGAGAAACACAGAAGAGCGCGGCAGAGAGAAGCGGAGAGGAAAGTAAGTGAAGAGAATAATTAGCGATACAGGGAGAGAAGCGGAGAGGAGAGTGAACAGGCGTGTTAGCGGCAGACAGGGAGAGACAAATAATTACACATGGCGCTCTCCAAGAAGAGGAAAATGGACAGTGAGAACAGAGCTTTCCTGAATGGACTCATTCATGTTCATCCTTCCCACTGGGAGCACAGAACCAGTGCATCTCATTTGTTCAGAGACCGTGGCGCTCATTAAAAGTGCCAAAACGCCACTATGAGACAAAACACAAAGTGTTTGACCAAACATTCCCTCTCAAGTCAGAACTGAGGTCACAACAAATAAATATCGTTCCAGCGCAGGCTAACCGAGGCTAACCAATGAGCACCTACATGTGTGTATGAGAATGGCCCTGACACCATTTCAGCCCAGATCTAAACTACTGGCAGGACAAGCTCGAGCTCAATTCTCGCACTGAATTAAAAAAAAGTGAGTGAGTGACTGCAATATAAGAGGGAAAGAAAGAGCAACTTTAAAACTATTCAATTGTTATGATGCGTAAAGACTGATATTGTTCTATACAGCGGTTTAGTGGGGATT